TGCCGGGACACGCACGAGAAGAGAAAGAGAAGTTACATCCGGTGGTAATCCAGCATTTTACTGATTGCACTAGTAAAAAAAAACACATTTTTTTTCTGGCCTGGACTTTTGCAGCTGTTTTAGACTAATTTCAGGGTGCTGATTCCAAATCTGATCTCAGATTTGCTCTATCACATCTCATTTCTATGCTATCGGCATACTCCATTTTCATTGATTTAACCCGAAATTAACTCTGTCACTTATGATTGCAAGTTGTTGCGAGTCAGTGACTGCTTTAGTGTTAAAATATGGTGCTGTATTTTTACGATGGTGTGTTTATATAATAGCATTTTATGTAGATATCCACATTTATTTCATATTTTTCTTCTGCAGTTTTGTATTGAAAATTCAATATTTGATATCTCAAAAACCTGATGTGATAGACAAAAACTGTTGCCAGATTTGGAATCAGCACCCCTAAAATTACCTTGAAACCGTTGGAATACCTTATGCCAGAAAAAGTGTGTTGACCAGTGTTGTCTATCAATACGTGCTTTCATTTGAACCCCGCGTGACTCACACCCTCACCCCCGTCATCGTTGTCATCAGCAGTCATGATCAATTCACTGCTGCATGGAGATGTAATCTAATCTAATATTTATAGAGGGTCTCGAAATAGTTTGAAGAACGGTGACAAAATAGGATGATTTAGATCGCAGGGGCGTGCTAGGGTTGAGGGTGCTTAGGGATAACGGAAGTGTATGGGATGGATGGGAAGGAGTGTAGTGGGGAGGGAAGAGAAAAAGAACGGGCAAGGGAAAAGAAGTTAAGCCACGTCTAATATCAGAATCTTTATTTTATTACCGAGCTACAAAGTTATTTTTTCACAGATGTTATTAAACCTCACTTGTTACAGCTATCGTGCTGTGACGGTTCCACCTGAAGACGGAGGCTTGTGTTGCCTCCGAAACGTCGTGATTTTTATTTAATTTTTATTTAACTTTTATTTTTACTTTTATCAAACCGCGCTGGTCAATGTCGGTATAGGAAGCTGGGGTTTTAGGGACCAGGACTCGTTCATATGTCGCTCACCACAAATGTTAGCTGTAAGTGAGAATCACACTCAGATCGCCGGATTAATAGAGTCGAACTTATTTTGGAGCTTTCGTGACTGCAGCAATTACTCTTTGGTTCTTTCGGTAAAGTCACGTATAAAGAGAAAATTATAAATTAAAGAATAGCATACGACGTTTCGATTGCAACACAAGCAATCATCATTAGGTATAAATGAAATAGAAAACAAACCTAGTATATCATCTTCTTGGTTCTTTCGGTAAAGTCACGTAGAAGGGAAGTAATAAAATAATAAAAATAAAACATAATAACATAATTTTCTCTACGCGACTTTACCGAAAGAACCAAGAAGATGAATCCCTGCAGTCACGAAAGCTTTAAATCGAAACCTAGTATACTTAGAAATATAATACAATACAACACAGAGAGTCGGCTAACATAACAGTCAACACAGTACATAGCTAAAACAAGATAGGGTATTGACTGTTATGTTAGCAGACTCTCTGTGTTGTATTACATATATTTCGAAGTATACTAGGTTTGTTTTCTATTTCATTTATACCTATTGATTGTGTTGCAATCGAAACGTCGTATGCTAGTATTTAATGTATTATTTTCTCTTTATACGTGACTTTACCGAAAGAACCAAACAGTTAATAGAGTCATGCGCTAACCACGGCACCAGCGTTCCAACTCCAGTGCCAATTCTATTTGTAAGCTGCATTGAAAAGCAAAAAAATCTTCCATAGGTTTTTTTTTGTAGCATTTTTTTAGCCTCTTTCACACCAGTTTAACTCACTCACTCGTTGCTGTGTAAATTGTGACTAATTCAGTGACCCTTTCTCCCCTTGCCTGTCCCAACGTTCCTAGAATCTACAAATCTTAGAGCTCCCTCCCCATCCTCCAACTGTGTGCTCCACTGTGCATTTTGCGGTGTCTCTGCCTTGGGCTGTGATTGTATTACCGCTGGTATTTTATTGGTGTTTGTTGTTGTCGCTTTTGTGTGTATCTACTTAATGTGGCATCATTTGTGTGTGTGTGTGTGGTATTTAAATGCATCCGGTAATGGTGCAACCTAACGATAGTATTCCCTCGTTATTCGTGAACTTGCTATCCGCGAGTTTGGCTATTGGCGAATCTGGAACTCTATACGACTGCATCCAGAGAGAGAGGTAAAGTGAGGAGATAGAGTGATGAGGTAAAGCGATGAGGTAAAGTGAAGAGTAAATGTGAGGAGATAGAGTGATGAGGTAAAGCGATGAGGTAAAGTGAAGAGTAAATGTGATGAGATAGAGTGATGAGGTAAAGCGATGAGGTAAAGTGATGAGGTAAAGTGACGAGTGAAAGTGACAAGTGAAAGTGACGAGTGAAAGTGACGAGATATAGTGATGAGGTAAAGCGATGAGGTAAAGTGATGAGGTAAAGCCATGAGGTAAAGTGACGAGAGAATGTGATGAGATATAGTGATGAGGTAAAGTGATGAGGTAAAGCGGTGAGGTAAAGTGACGAGTGAATGTGAGGAGATAGAGTGATGAGGTAAAGCGATGAGGTAAAGCCATGAGGTAAAGCCATGAGGTAAAGTGATGAGGTAAAGTGATGAGGTAAAGCCATGAGGTAAAGTGATGAGGTAAAGCCATGAGGTAAAGTGATGAGGTAAAGCAATGAGGTAAAGTGATGAGGTAAAGCGATAAAAGATAAAGTAATGAGATAAAAGAGATGCGATAAATAGAGAGAACTTCTCGAACCTTTAGAAGCATCTGCAGACGGTCGCGCGTACGATATTCGCATGCCGATATCGTTATCCGCGAAATTTTGCATTCACGAGCATCTCGGAAAATAAAGAGGGAATTTGCGTACTGAGAAAGGGGGATTGTTGTGTCGTAAGACCGCGAGAGATGGATATTGCTTGGGGAGACGTATATCCAGCAGTGGATCGACCATGGCTAACGATGATAATGATAATGATGTATCATACATACGTACTGTTCATACTAGACAATGTATATATCGGGCGAGATATTCGACTGAATCGGGCGATGGTGTCACCTCAGGAACATTGTTGAGGGTGGCAAAGGGGCCATCCATAAATGACGTCACGCACCTATGGGGGAGGGGGGGGGGGTCAGACATTTGTGACGATGTGTGACAAGGGGGGGGGGGGGGGGTTGAGAAATGTGACGTCACATCAAAATGCGCAACTTTAAATAAATATAGACAGCACGTTCTACTTAATTTAACATACTTTTTAATCAATGTTTTCTCCTACAACAGAGTGCAGTGCCACATTAAATACGCACTACAATGACAATAGTTTAAAGCGATTTGAAGCATGTTTTATTTAGGGGGGGGGGGGCAGAGCTTTGTGACGTCATATTTGGGGGGGGTCTGACTTTTTGTGACGCCGTGTGACGACGGGGGAGGGGGGGGGTCAGAAATCGTCCAAAATCGCGTGACGTCATTTATGGACGGCCCCAAAGAGATGCCTCCGCAACTGTCACTCTCTGAGTCTTTAGTTCAAGTGCCCTCATGAGGAGTTTGGTGTTAAGAGGTGAAGCTCAGATTTGATGGGGAGGGGAGGTGGGGCTTGAGCCATGGGTCTTCCTCTCGGGCATAGAACTTGCGAATAACACATAATAAAAAAACATTTCTTTGATTCGTGAATATTATATTCTGTGCATGTATATACACACACACATATCAACACAGAGTACAACAACGACCGCCATTCGCCGATAAGTGGCGGTGATGTCACCACGGCGCTTGTGCCAGGCTTTGTGCACAAACACACGCACGCAAGCAATATCATGTATGTAGCACTGCGGTGGAGCGGTGGCAGAGTGGTTAGCGCACTGCGCCAAGAAAGCCCAGTGACCGGGGTTTTTCTATTCCCGGTCATAATTCACGCAGCTGAGGCACACGTTAGCAGCAGCGATGGTGGCTATACTGTTCCGATTAAACCGCCACGGTTATTTAATTGTCGCTGCAACTGTCTAAAATACTTTGGTCACAATTGCGAGTGGGTGGTCTAAAACCAGAGTTGTGTGCGGCATGGTGTTGTCACGTGAAACGCAAGGAAACGATGGTTAGGACTGGAGCAGGGCTATCTGATCATTTAAGCCAGAGGTGGGGAACGTCCGGCCCGCGGGCCGTACAAGTCCCACGGAATCATTTGGTGTGGCCCTGCCAAGGCAAATGCGGGCAGGACTCGAAATTAAAGAAAATCTAGGAGCAAACCTGGAAAAGCAGTTGCGAGTAGCAACATCATCAACACCAGCTAACATCACGCACCTCGCCAAAGAGAAGCAGTTCCAGCCATCACATTAGGGGTGAGTTAATTAAATGTTTAACCAAATATATCAGGCTAATTTTTAAGTTGATAATTTTGTATGGCCCGCGAATGATGTTATAAATATCCAAATGGCCCTTGGCAGAAAAAAGGTTCCCCACCCCTGATTTAAGCAGTCGATTACTCTACGTTCGATGACGAATCGGATAATACAAAAAAAAATTACGTTTGGACGGGAGGTGATGGGCAGTGCCTGGTAACGTTATCGGCATCGTCGTCCGTGTCACGCTGGGCGTGGCTTCTGGGGGGGTTTCCTGCCTTCGGGAGTAAAGAGATCAGCACGACCACCATTTTTAAAGGGGCCAGAGTATTCCACCACAACAAAAAGTAGTCGGTTGCAATGTTTGGATCGCATAAATCTATTTAATTTACCAATCGTCCCAGCCCTTGTTACAGGGAACGATCCACCAGTCACAGCCGCACATTGGAATGTCTATAAATTCACCTTTTGCGCGCGGCATTACTTTTACGTCTTTGTGTCAACAACGCGCACGTGTCTACGAACGCGCGCGTGCGCACGTCCTGAGCAGAGGTGAGAAACCAGTGCATTGCACCGTCACCTCCCGCCCCAATTGTTGCGTCGCCTCCTCCTCCTCCACAGAGCATCTTCCTCTTCTCGCTCATCAAGTACATGCCGCTGACTTACAACAAGGTGTACGTCTACCCGACGTGGGGCTACGCCCTCGGCTGGTTCCTCGCCCTCTCTTCCGTCATCTGCATTCCCATCTTCATGGTCTACAAGCTGGCCAAGACGCCCGGCACCATCAAGCAGGTGAGCGCGTGGCGTGTGTGTGTGTCCGTGTCCTCGTGTGGCAGATCCGCAGTGTTCATTCAGTCGGCCCTTTTTTTTAAATCCTTTATAATAAGTTCACTTGCTTGCTTGCTTTCGCGCTTACGGCCGTGCAAATCTTTCAGTCGTTTTTTAACCCACTTCCCGTGATCCAATCAAGCTGACATTTTGCACACAGACTCGTTGTGCGTGATAATTTATTTTCGTGACATTTTTTTCCAAAATTTTCCACTTTTTAGGGAAAAAAAAAATTCATATTTAATTTAAAATACCAATGTGATAAAAATGAAACTCTTACTCGAGAAAAACAGAAATGAATAATAAAATTAAACCGATGCCACGCATATAAAGGATTTATAGTGAAAAACTTTGTTTTTACGGGTTCATTTTTCGTAGTCTTATTTATTTATACTGAAACTATTAAATCAATTTTTTTTTATTTTATCAGGTAAGGCCCACTGAGCTATATAGCTATTTTTTTCAGAAGCGACCTGGCTATCACATATAATAGCCAAAGGAAGTGGCTTATCACGGCGAAATTTATCGAAGCCAAATACTCTACACGCATTTTGATTCTAAACGTGGAGGGAAAAACCGGAGGACCAGGAGAAAAATCCACGGGGCCACGTCATCATTGACTGAAATAATAAACACTTCATTGACTTAAAAGTATTTTCATCACTTAATTTCGGAAATAACATTGACACTGCAGGTGGACAGGAGCCGCTAGATTGGGTCAGCCAGTCCGGGCTCACTCTTTTTTGTTCCGAGTAATGCCGCTCCATTCCGTCCGAGACGATGAGCATATTGTACGTGCGGTGATCAGAGTGTAAAAAAAATAAAGATAAAATAATAAATTAAATACTAGCATACGACGTTTCGATTGCAACACAAGCAATCATCATCAGGTATAAATGAAATAGAAACACAAATCTAGTATACTTAGAAATGGAATGTAATACAACAGAGAGTCGGATAACATAACAGTCAACACCCTACCTGGTTGATTACGTTCTTCCCGAGAATGCTAAATTTGAGAGAGAGATAAAGCACAGAACCAGAAACATATAGACCGACATATAAGCAGACAGATATCACAGAGAGAGAGAACAAACCAACCAGGTAGGGTGTTGACTGTTATGTTATCCGACTCTCTGTTGTATTACATTCCATTTCTAAGTATACTAGATTTGTGTTTCTATTTCATTTATACCTGATGATGATTGCTTGTGTTGCAATCGAAACGTCGTATGCTAGTATTTAATTTATTATTTTATCTTTATACGTGACTTTACCGAAAGAACCAAAGAGTAATTCCTGCAGTCACGAAAGCTCCAAATTAATAATGTAAATACTTGACCTCCAAGGCCCACCGTTACAGTTTCCCACCACCTTTTGGTCTATGCTCTATTGGCGACATGCTCTTCACAGACCACTCTTGGGCTGTCAGGTGTCATGCCATGATACAAAGAATCGACTCGGATTTCTTGCAGAGTAGTGCAATCGGTTGAGTCCGAAAACAGAAGCAGATATCACGGAACTACTTCTGAGATCTCGTCGACTGAAGGAATTTATCCAAATTAAGTTGCCGAAGGACATTTAACGTCATCTGAGGTCAAAGTTCAATGTGGAAGTATTTTTTTTTATGTACACGTCGGTGACTGGGCTGAGACTATTCACATTTCACGTGAGAACCCTCATCAATCGCATGCGGCTGCCTTGATTCAAACTCGGCATCACAGCGGTGCCAGCTCGGCGCCCTCGCCTCTTGAGCCACTCGTTCCACCTGGGCAACGCCGCATAAAAAAAAACAAGTTCCTTCGGAGTGGGCAGGTAGGAACTTGGTTGGACAGCGCATTCGTGCACGACAGACAAATATGCACGACAGACAGACAAAAAATCCCTGGTGGGCAGTGTGGAACATTGTTCCTACCTGTAAAACCTGACTGGCTCTATACCCTCGCAGACGGAACGGCCCCCGTCTCTTGACGTGGAAGAACGAAGCGATGTTGAGTGGGTGCCCTCATTTCAATTCCCACAAGTGCGCAACTAAAGTGCACCGAACATCCTCAAGTCGCGCTCAAGTCTCGCCTCGGGGAAGCCGGCACGAATGGCACGCGGAAAAAAACGGTGCCGCTGTTTCAGAGGGGATGACGAGGGATTGTGACGTGCGGCTGTTCCCTTTGTGCTCGCATAACTTTTTGAACAGCTCATTATTTTGCCTCGGCGAGCTCTGGCCCATCGCTTAGCGACAGGGCCGAGGGCGTCTTGCGAGCAAGGGAGCGAGCGGGTAGTTTTAGCAGGAGATATGTTTTTTAAATCCTTTATATTAAGTTCGCATGCTTGCTTAGGACCGTGCAAATCTTTCGGTCGTTTTTTAACCCACTTCCCGTGATCCAATCGAGCTGACTATTTTGCACACAGACCCGTTGTGCGTGACAATGCATTTTCGTGAAAAAAAATTCCAAAATTTTACACTGTTTAGGGGAAAAAAATTAATATTTAATTACCAATTGTTTAATGCTGCCAGACAATCATCTGACCCATAGGTGGCAGCCATCTCAAGCCAGAGGATGAGAGGACTCTAGCCGCCCCGATGCCACGCATATAAAGGATTTATAGTGAAAAACTTTGTTTTTACTGGTTTACTTGTTGTTTGTTTTGAAGTGTTCCTGACCCTTGGCACTTCTTCGTACGGCTCACGTTGGTGAACAGCAACGACTATGATTGGACACTGAGGTGGTTCGAGCCAGTTAATTACGACGGGAGCAGGGGAGTGTATATTGCCGTGGTGATGGTGATGATAATGCCTCCTTCGTTTTTTGCGAGTCCGTTCTGGGCGACCGCAATCTCCGCACATTGCCGGGGTGTTTTGTCATTTTCCGCTTGTGCATCATCGTCATCATGTGTCCGCATCTGCTGCTCGGGGTTTGTGCGGTTGCGGTTTAGGGTTCCTTCACGCTAACGAGCGGCCGCCTCCAGAGAAAAATTGGCTGCATGGGCCGAGTAACAGATGAAGGTGCACGCTTGAGTGCCGCAAGCTATGATTTAGTAATTGCGCTTCGCAACCGGCGGCCGCAAGCTCCAGATGGCATCGGTTGGCCGCCGCGCGGCGTTGTTGCACTGCCATCTACTGGAAGGCAATGTTCGTTGGCAAGAGCGTTTGTTGGCACACGATGAACCAAGCTGTGCCACCTGTGCATGATGTACGAATTCAAACCCCCCCGCCCGCCCCGTGCGATTCGACAAATATTCACAATTCTATTCAAGAATAGATCGCTTAATTTTGTTTTCGCCTTTTTAAAAATTATTTTGGCACGTTTGTACCGTTTTGCTCCGTGTCGATTCGTCGTCGGTGACGATCGGTTTGGTGCGCTCGCGATAACTGTACGTTCAAGTTCAAGTTCATTTATTAGGTATAGCCCTGTAAGCCATTCGGCTCTTGAATCGGGTGCAACCGCGACAAACAAAAAACAAAAACATGAACAAGAATACGCAGCGGCCAGCGGTTGACCTGGCCCCATATATTGAACCGTACGTGCGACAATCAGATATTTGCCAGTCGTGCAGCTTCCGTTCCAAACGATAAGTCAATGTAAAAAATCATGCTCATAGGAAATTAACTATACAAATACGACAAAATACCACTTAATGACGAAAAATACAAACAAGATGCTACAAAACATTGGACCCAGAAATAAGCGATACCTTCAATGGAATTTCTCCACCGTATTGTGACAATCCGTCGAGTTTCTGGGGTGGGTGAATCTTTGTTGATCTGTTTAGCATACACATTGGATATAATTTGCATATCTATTATAAATGATACTTTCTTCCATGCACAATTCGATGCGTGCACTGCGAGCATAAGAATCGATTTGATTCGATGAATCGAGCCCATCGTTAGATTCTTTAGGGGCATCTCCCCGAGCGATTCCTCGCCGATGGCCTGGTGCCACGCAGTGGAAATGAGTTTTCTCGCCGTCGTTTTCGTTGCCTCTCGTTACACTATTTTGCCCGAGAGCTGCCTAATTAGGAGGCAATTAGAACCCCGATGCGATTGTGGAGAGACGCGGTAAGTTTAAGAAGTTGGCAGGGCAAAGGTCCCAGAACAAAATCACAAACTCCTAATTTGGCTTCCTCGCTTACAGACACTAAAGCTGTCTCATGTTTGCTTCATACGTTGTAACTCGTCGTACACACATAAAGTTGTGGAGAGATGGTGCGGCGAGACGTGCGCTCGCTGTGCTATGAGCCCAGCGACCTGAATTGGATTCCTGGCTATGTCTATAACCCCAGCTTGCGAACGATATCTGAACCGGTCCTGAACATCACTTCCCCTCCCACCCCCCTTCACCAACCAGTACGAAGCAGCATGGTGAAGTATAGTCGAGCAGTCTCCACAAACCACATGGCATGGATTGACAAAACGTTACGTGTGTTGTTTTATAAGTGGAGCAGAAATACATTTACTGGCAGTTTAACACGGAGGCTTTCGCGACCAATATCATCCATAATAGAGGTTTTTGGGTTAGATTGCGTAATATATATATTTTTAAATATATTTACGCGATCTAACCTAAAAACCTATGTTATGGACATTTACTGCCATGTCATTATTTATGCATATTGAACTTCTTTCGCACCGTACTTAGCCAACCTTGATAATCGGAGTTACAAATCCTGCCTTATAACTAAATAATATATAATGTAACAATGTGAGCAGTGGTCCAAAGCTGATGAATGGCCATTGTACATATTTTAGTTTATGTCAGATACAATACAATGACGACGAGGTTGTCTGGAATTCACCACCTGAATGTGAAATTTTAGCTGTTGCTCTGCGTCTACATCAGCAGCCGTATGAAAGAAGAATAAGAAAATGAAGAAAATATATTTTGGATTCATCATCTAAGAGAACAGTCACATTGTTGCATGTGATCAGGACCGGTTCAGATAGTTCAGATATCGCACGCCGACGCTTGATGTCAGCCGTGACCGGGAATCGAAATCGGGTCGCCAAGTTCATAGCGCGGAGTGCTTACCAGTAAATCGCAGCTTCCCCCTGTCAATACACTGACATACTCTTAGTTTTTTCGGTAAAGTCACGTAGGTACATTTTTTTTATTAAAATTAATACAAATAAAATATTAAATTAATTTTAATTTCATTTTTTTTTTACCTACGTGACTTTACCGAAAAAACTAAGAGTATGGATCCTTGCAGTCACGATAGCTTCTAATCTAGAATTAATACCCTGACAATGCATGAGGATGAACAGATTTGTGGGGCGGCCTATGTCCATATTTTGCAGCCTCCCCCCCCCCCTCCCCCAGCGTACCACGTTGTTACTCACACTTTACACCCTTTTTTCCCCGGGGTGCCTTTCTCTGCCAGCGGTTCCACATACTCACGCAGCCCAGCTCGAGCCTGCCGCAGTTGAAGCGCCACCAGCTGGGCAACCGCGTGGAGGAGAGCAAAGGTCCCGACACGGTGTGCGCTCTTCTCGAGAAGGAGACGAACATCTAGGCGACAAGAGGTGTATCGTACAAGCCCTCCGTCACCTCCGAGCCACTCCCCGAGCTCCAGTCATCCTCCACCTGTTAGCCATCCGAACCCCCCTTCCTTCTTCCCTCATTCCCATCCCTCCCAGCCCTCCCAGCCCTCCAGCACTGAGCCAGTGAAGGGTCCAGAGATGCAATGCAGACATGAAGTCATTCCAGTAAGAGATGTCACCCTCCGCACGGTGGCAATGCATTCTAATGGAATGCTCCTGGCAGATTACTCGCTGCTTTTTTTTTGGCTTAACACTCAACTTGAGATGCAGCTTGTGAGATGCATAAGCCACATCTTTGTTTTGTATTTGTTTAATTTGCTCTACAGTACTGTACTTTCAATTGTGTTACAACTGTGCTTTCGGCGTCGCGTCAGAGGATGTCGAAATTCTCGTTCGGAACTCGCATTGTGTGTCTGAGAACAGGCCTCGGAAGATGACATCATAGAACTACTTCTGAGGTAATTTCTCTCGGTGTCTTCATCCACAATAGGGGGTATGACTTTTCAATGCTCCGCTAATAGTGTTTGCCGCATGTCAATCACACCTATTTGAATTATCAGCTGCGGATTAGGCGAATTTACGTGGCGGAAACTAAATTAAATATTACGGATTTTTGTTGTTTGTCATATGCATTGATTGGTAACTCGGCTGAGACTATAAAGACACTGTTCTTGAGAAACCTGTTTAATCACCGGTGGTTACCAGCTGCAGTGCTCTGAGATGGTGTTAAACGAACGGTCCGAGTCACCCAACCACGACCCTTGACTGAGCCGCCCTTTCGGAGCGTCGAGCGAAGCCGGTGCTGCATCTCGGTGCCCGACGCTCACGTGCTCACGGCTCGATTCGCAGGCCGTGCGTTGGGGGTTGTGCCATTGCGGACGGGGTTAGGTGACCCCAGGAACTGCAGGTGCGTCCGGCGATGGCTACTCCCATCTGACCTTTAAGCCTTCGGTGGTGAATGACTGTCAATTTGTTTTTTTTTTGTTTAACACGTAGGCTTCCGCGATCAATATCCATAATACAGTTTATTTTGGGGTGTGAATTTTTATTGTTAAATCGCATTTTCTCACGCGCAGCACTGTGGACGGGGTGTATCGGCAGCGATTGCACGAAGTCCGATTTGTCACCCATACAGGAAATGCGCGGTGAAAGTATTTTCCCGCACGTCTAACAATGCATGCATTTTTATTGTTCGTGATTTCCCGATCGTCGACGCAAGAAACTACTTGCTTATCGGTAATCTATCAAATGTGACTCGATTGTCATATCATCCGGACCTGAAGTTGACAAACACTATGCCGTGCCTGTGATCAAATAAGCATGAATATTCCACATTTCATCAGATGTCAGAAGCTAAACAGGGCTGAGCCTAGTTGTGCACTTGGATGAGTGACCACCAAGGCTTGCCAGGTGTTTTAGCTGTGGGGCTGCGACTTGGCCAGGAGATTGCAGTGCTTGTGTCACGTCTTTATATGTACGGCTGTGTTTCTTTCTTATTCAAGTTCTCCAGTTTCTCTCCCGCGGCCAAATCCTCACAACAACAAAAGAGCCAACCTTTGGCAGAACGCCCTTGGGTGCGGATGGCCCTAAAACAGCTGCATGTATTTTCAATTCTTCATTGTATAATTTCGGTCAATTTAAGACGCTCCGGTGTTGTTCCACAGTCACGTGCCCTCCTGTGTCGTGGTTATTCTTCTCACGCCACTTTCGCGCTCCCCTTTCACTCCAGCACAGGCCTCGGCATTGCATCTGGAGAGTGGATTGCACTATTTACTCATGGGGGTGCTCAGAGAAAACGTAACAATGCCCCTTTTTGCCAGTGGTGCCAACGTAAATTCAGATACCTTTGTGATATCCCTTTGCCCTCCGTTGTCCCTCTCCCATCAGCAAATTCACACAAACATAACAATAGCAGAGCAAACAATACGTGGGGTAAATCTAACACAGTCTTCTCTGCATTATTGCACGTAATTTTTTCTGGCAGTATGTTAAAGTACAAGCTGGGAGGTGCATCTTGTAACATGGTGTGATGAGTGTGTTTGCGCGCGTGGCTGGATTTGTACAACTTTATTCACGCTGTGCGCAATTGTTCGTGGTGCAACTTTTCATTCCGGGACATCTTATAATCTGGAGAATACAGTATTTGTCGGTCCCTTGGTTATAATTTCAAGCACTGGGGATGCAAACAGGCAAGGGCCAATTTACGCTCTATATTCTTGTAGAACCTTTAACAAACGAAACACTTAATAGTGGCTGGGATATGGGCAGTGAGCAGATGCTCGTAGAAAACCATGACACGTATAGTGTATGTATGACAACACATTATTAACTATAAGCGTGAGGCAGTTTTAATTTAGTATGTGCCTAATCAACAGCTTATGAAAGGACCCAACCAACGGTCAGTAGACAATATACTACTTTGGTGTGGTTTTATTCTTCGTTAGAATTGTAATAAATAAAAAGTGTGCTTATGCTGAGGAATGCGCAGACAAAAGATGAAATCGGGAATTACTTGTCAGACTCAACAAGTTCACAATGATAATAGTTTTTTTTACCCCTTTATCTGGCAACAAAACTGACACCTTTTTTACAAGAAGTCATTTTTGCATTGACCACAATACCTGCAGTCGGAATGCATGTTTTTTGTTTGCATTCCGACTGCAGGTATTGTGGTAAATGCAAACATGACTCCTTGTAAAAAAAAGGTGTCAGTTTTGTTGCCAGATAAAAGGGTAAAAAAAATAATTATCACATTTTGCTACTGGCAAATGAGGTTCCAACGCTCTGATGGTGCATTGTTTTTGAGTTGTGCACCTTTTGGCGTCATCTGGTCCAACACCATTTGAGACTAGGCTCTAAGGAAAGCTGTCTCGGGTGTGGACCAATCAACTTCAAGGACAGTGCATACATTATCAGAGTTATGTTTTTTGTTTGCATTCCTACTGCAGGTATTGTGGTCAATGCAAACATGACTCCTTGCCAGATAAAAGGGTTAAAAAAACAATTAACATATTTTGCTACTGGCAAATGAGGTTCCAAAGTTCACAATACTCTGTGTAAGCTGTGGAAGGAGCCTGTAGATCATGCATATTCGTATCACCTCGTTCATGTATTCATCCGTTCACGAACGCCCTTCCTGATTCGAGAAATTCGTTTGTTTGTATGTATGTATGTGGAACTTCATTCGCACCGTACACAGCCAACTGTGCCAATCGAAGGTTGCGGGGAAAGGACAACAATCTAAACTGAAAATGTAGTTTCTAAGGAAATTCGTTTTCAATCTAGATGGTTTAAAAGTGCTCCAGTGGCTTTCGAATATCGGAAGGAAGAGCGTCGCAGACCGCCACAGAAGCGCATCTGAAAGTGTGCGATGCAGTGGCCGTCTTTGTTCGATGGGTTAGCCAAAAGCCTCCGCGAGGATGACCGGAGCTCACGTGATGGTTTATGCTCCTTGGCGAGATTAGCAAAGTATTGTGGTTCATTTGTGGCAAGCACATTGTGTGTGCAATGAGTGCGATCTTAAAACCGACCATTGGTAACCAATCGCATCCATTTACCTCAATCCTGGGCCTTAATTGAAATATTCCGATGCCCCCTTTCAGTGAATTATTTGATGTTCTCCATCCAACTAGAGTCCTTGGTAGGCGCACAACAAGTGTGCACAATTTTTCGATTTAAAGCTTTCGTGACTGCAGGGATTCATCTTCTTGGTTCTTTCGGTAAAGTCACGTAGAAGGGAAATAATAAAATAATAAAAACTAAACATTATAAAATAATTTTCACGACGTTTCGGCCACAACGCAAGCAGCCGTCCTCAGGTGAAGACCAGGTCTGCCTGAATTTCAGACGCTGTCTCCCCGACAGACCTGGTCTTCACCTGAGGACGGCTGCTTGCGTTGTGGCCGAAACGTCGTGAGAATTGTATTTTATTACGTTTTATTTTTATTATTTTATTATTTCCCTTCTACGTGACTTTACCGAAAGAACCAAGAAGAGGTGTGTACAATGTGCAGTTTTCCTTCAATATATATCTTTCGTCAGAGTTGGGCTTGCCTCATCTGACATTTGAAGAAAAAAACTGGAACAAATCACGGTGCATTGTCTTGAGTGGTGCGTTATCATAGAACTGACAAAAAAAAATCGGGATTTTTGTTGTTTATGTCCAGGGAAAACTTACAGATTTCCCAGGACAGCTACCTCAAAAAGAGGACAATCCTGGGAAAAAACCTGGACAAGGTGGCCACCGTACGGCAGAGTCCTTGTGGCCCCGTGCTGCCTGGAGTGACTTGCTCGTGGGTAATGTTTTGCCGTGACGCTCATGGGCAACAGCTAATGTCACGGGGAAAACGCTGCCGGGCCAAGCCACCGCATCTCCTCCTGACAAGGGTGTTCCACCTCTTGTAGCCACACTCCTTTATTTTGTGCACAGTATTATAGGCTACTCCGGGGCTATGTTGTGGGCAACAGAGGGCATTACAGCAAAATCCGTTGTTGTACTGTGCTTCTATGCTCCCGTGCTTCCTGCCTTCGCCAAACTTGCACTGACCAGCGTGGTGAAGTATGATCGAATGACCCCATGGACCTCACCTGGTGTAGGGAGGCCCTCGTCCATCCAGCAGTGGATTGACATATGGCTGTAGATGTACTCAGAATTGAACGTTACACTCGATGAGAGCCACTTAGATGCCGTGTCTCAATGGAACCAACTGTGTTGGCAGCGGCTGAGTGAGACGGAGATTGAAAGCACACCAACGCAACACCACCGCCGTCATCATTCACACGCGTTCTCTAGTGTGTGTGTGTGTTTGCCGAAAGAAAACGGCAGCGTTTTAATTGGTGGCAAGTAGCCGCGGTGATTTTTGGACTGCGCTAAGCGGTTGCGTATTCGTTTGAGTTCGTGTTTGTAGGGGTGTCTTTTGACGCGACTCTTTGATGAGTGGTAACACCTGGTGGGAGCCATCGTGCATGTGGTGTGGCGGATGGTCTCTGACGCACAGCGTTCGGGCAAGCGACTATAATTGAATTCACTATTGAGCGGTTGAAGTGACCGACAATGTGAACCTTACATCAACAATTAACACGCATTGAGTGCGTTTTGGCCAACGCTGCGCAAGAACAAATGCAGGAAGAAGTAGAAGAAAAAAACTCACCACAGTTATCATTAACAATGCCAAACAGTCATTCATGGAATTGACCAAACATCCCAATGTGGGGACACCTCCTGAAAGATGAAAGAGTATGTCAGACTCGGCGATGCTTTCCTGGATGAGTAAAGGGCATTATTGATCTTATTGTTAAAACAGTAGAGCATGGTGTGACGGGATAACGTTTCAGGCAGTGGGCCTTCTTCACAGTGAGCAGAGCGATACTAATGCGCGGGCTTTCGCGGTCGTGCCATATACCTCTCTGGTGTGTGTTTATCGGGTTGTGCCGCGTGTTCTTCGGCCACGATATCCGACAGTTTCCCTTCCTGAAGAAGCTCGGCAGCAGCGTGGAGCAAAACGTCGGACATCGGCCTCGCAACATGCGGCACAACCAAAAAACACACGGTGGCGGTGTAGGACCGTTGCTCAATACGTTCGTGTGTATGCCGAACTTCTTTCGCACCGTACGTAGCCAACCGTGCTCGGCGGGGGAAGGACAACAAACTGAGCGCAGAACTAAAAATATGCATTAGCTTCTTGCTGTGCATACGAGTGTATTTCTGTTGAAAGGCAAAGATAGCGGAGAAGATTGTCAACGTGTGTGCAATGGTTGGTGATTCAATCAGATCCCACTCTTGTCACTGACAAGTCTTCAAGACTGTCCCTGGTGTTCTTGTGCATCACGCAGTGTTGTGTGGAATGGAACTCCTCCTCCTCCTCCTCCTGCAAGTCGAGTCTGGGCTTGAGCCACCTCGGGCTTTTTAGCGAGTCGTGGCAACGTGCAGCAAATGTGCTCCGTGCCGTCAAAGTTCATTTCGTGGGCCGGAAGGGATGTTCGTCGGAGCAGGAACACGAGTTTGTTTGTTTTTGCAAAACGTTGGTTTATAGCGCACGGTTCAAATTGGACTCTACCGTTTTGCCTTCGAAGCCCAGCTGAGGTTTCCCGAATGAGCGTGCCCACACGCAGCAGAGGCCGCCCAGTGTCGTTTTCAAATGGCCCCAATTTGGCCTGGGCCTTTACACAGTTAGAGGGCCTCGCATGAGGCCCATTTCTTTATCGCTAATGAATTAAGGGGGCCCTCCCTCCGCCCACAGTGGCTGCCCAGAGGCCTGGACCGCCAGGGCCTCCAGGAAGGAAGCGCTCTGGGATGGCCCTGCAACACGCCATGAATATTTATGGAGGATTTAACTCCTTGTGGTAACATTATGCTACACTACACTTAAAACTGTATTCTGTTTGCTGCATCAGATTTTTATTTTTAAATACATAGCAAAATATATAAAGGTTTGCTTTTTTATTTTAAGTGAGTGAATTACAAAGTTAGTGTCAGCTCTTTGACTGACAAGTCTTTGCCTAACCACATTTGACTATAATGGATTTTAGCGATTAACTGTGGTTTAAAATTGTATTTCGCAATGTAATTTTAATAATGTCATAGCCCATGCTAATATGTACAAATGTATTTGCAGTGAGTAATGTTTAGAAAAAAACTTTCAATATTAAGCTCACAACCATTTTGCGTATCCATGAAACTTAGATTAAAAAATACACTTGTGCAGCTGTTTTTATTGAGGCATATCATTTTTCACATATCACTTCTGATTGTGTTAATAATATATTATATCATTACATTGCATAAATTGCACATTTTTAACCGTGGAATGTAGAACGTTAAAGATTGTAATATCAATCAAAACTGTTGAATGGGGTTTTTTTCCAGACTCCCTTGCACAAAAATCCTATACTATTGGAGTAAATAAAAATCCCTAAGTATCCTATAGGGGCATGGTACTGAGGGCACCGTAAGTGAACCTTACATTATTCACTTACAGACTGTTTTGGAGCTTCTTGCTCTTTAATGATATCCTGCAAGGTCATTTTGAATACCCTTTTAGATGCTTAGTGAGTTGGAAATAGACATAACCTCTGACGATTATTGTGAAATTTGCTTTAAATTCTTACCATGATTTATAATTAGTTTCTATTGGGTTAGGTCGTGTCGATATAATTATTAATTATATATTTTACTCTAACCCTCCACCACTCGACAGACACAATCAAGTCGTCACGTGGGAGCTGAGCTTTTGTTGACACTTAATACTCTACAAACTATTGTTATTTCACCAGGTAAGGCCCATTGAGCTATATAGCTTCTTTTCAGGAGCAACCTGGCTATCAGAAATGATAGCTCAACGAATTGGCTTATCATGTGGAAATGTGTAGCAGCCAAATACTCTAAAAGCATGTTTCCAAACGTGGAGGGGAAAATCGGAGGACCTGGAGAAAAATCCACACGGACACGGGGAGAAAACATGCAAACTGCAAATATACAGCCGGTGCCAGGGTAGGGATCGAACCCACGATCTCCTGTATACCAAGCGAGGTGGTTAAGATCTCGCCACATTGGCGCCCAGCCAAAAGCACGTGACGGTTGAGCCTTTTGATTTAAAGCTTTCGTGACTGCAGGGATTCATATTCTTGGT